TGTTGCTGCTGCTGTTGTTGTTGTTGCTGCTGCTGCTGCTGCTGCTGCTGCTGTTGCTGTTGCTGTTGCGACTGAGTTTGTTGTTGTTGTTGTGTATCCTTCGTCGAAGGTGGAGACGTGTCAGGTTTCGTAGTAGGTGATGCTGGTATCGTTCTTGGAGGACCCATGCTGTCCGGTATGTTTGGATTGTGTGGTACTGGACTACTTTGTGCACTCGCACTTGACTTATTTCCAGGCTTTCCAGAATCAGCTGGAGTATGAGGAGCACCATTGCCTGGTGTGTGTGGAGTGTGAGGGGTGTGTGGACTGTGCAGCGATCCAGTGAAACCGCGGTTCATACTGTCCATCTGAACTGGACTCGCACCCTCGGATCTAGCAGCAAATTGATTACTGTTATCTAAGTTTCCTGGCAAAATCCTATTCGACATCTCTGTATTGCTGGTGGTGTTTCTAAACAGAGAAAATAGTATTGAATAACTACCAATAAAAATGATTCGAAAACGAACGAATGTGTTCAGTGTATACTCACGAGGATAAATTGCCATCCTTCAAACTTGTATTTGGCTGTTTCTGTATAGTCAATTCTTGTCCCTCAAACGTGTTTAGATACTGAATCTGTTGCGGACTCGGAACTGGCATCAAGTTGGCCTCCTTAACACCAGCCGCGTTCACTGCTCCAGTATGTTGCTGCTTTTGCTGGGCTAAGGATTGCAGCGTGCGGCAAAACATACCATCCACTATGTTGTAACATATAACACGGTCAATTCACCGCAGAATACTACAGCAGTGAACTTTTAATATATTCTATGTAATATTGCTGCGTTACTTAGTTCTTGCATTAAAATCCTTTGCGTGCGATTTAACGTAAAATATATTATTTAATGTTTTAAGAAGCATTTCGAAGACGATAAACTTAGTATAGAGAGGGATTAATTTATCTGGAGACTTACCGTTTGGTGGTTGACTGTTAGGGAAGTCCAAAGGTGAATCTTTCTGGGCAGTCGGTCCACTTGGACTGAGCGACGAAATGTGCGAATGCGAAACCGGCGTGCCTGGATTACTGTGATTTAGCCTTGTCGTCGAAACCGCTGTCGCGTTGCCGACTGTTGGATTCGGGGAATCCTGACTGGTCGGACTTTGTCCAGGTAAGTGGTTCGTTCTTTGATTGCTAAGTTGAAACTGCCTGTTGCAGTCTGCTGGCGAATTTAATGCTGAACTTGCACGAGGCGACGGTAATGATAAATTACTAGTGGGATTGTTGGGCGACGAAGGATTCGGACTTTGTATTGCGATTGGTACACTTGCGGATCGGGTCGTTTGATGATATGGTGGCGGTGGTCCTTGACTTCTAGGAACTCCAACCATGCCTGCTCCACGCAATGAAACACCGGTACCAGGACTTCCTACACTGCCCTATACGTATAAATGTTAGAACTTAAAGTATTACAAACTATCAGCAAGCTTAGCTGCTAATTTTCATCCTACTATAATACTTTTCGTGTATTATGCTTTTTCGATTATTGTACCTTGGCTTTTCCATCGAGAAACTGATGCTGTAATTTATGCCAGTCCATGCTTGGAGGACACTGCGTTGGTACAACCGGAGGAACATTTGTCGGTGGACACGATGATACTGCCGTTGCTTGCGTCGCGTCTAATGTGTTAGTAGGTTCTTCTTTATGTTCAGGAAATAACATCATCTGCATTTTCCTTATAGTTGCTAACTGAAGTTCTCTATGTTGCCTTTGCTGCGGGGTTAAATTTTCGTCTGGAACTTTAACACCTTGCAAGGATGGTTGCAAACTCCCCGGACCTGGACTGGTACTGCCTCCTAATAAATTTGGACTATGTCCCATCGTTGTACTATTAGGGGGTTGTGGATTTGCTGCAATAAGAAATGTAGTTTGCGTTTAGTGTACAGAAATTATATTTAACTCGTAGAAACTAAATGTTTTATTACATTGAATAGACAATTACCTGTATTACCAGGTGAATTTGGTACAAGGCAAGGCACGTCTATATTTGCATCATCTAATGATGGCTCAGAATTACCAAGAGAATTTCCACCATTCAAGTTTCTTATATTGGGTTGTTCATTCCAAAATGGAGGAGCATTAGGATCAAGAGCTGGTAGATCTGGAGGCTGTTCTGTCGGAAAAGTATTGTTTGTACCACCTTGATGACCTTTCTGTTTCATCATGGCAAAATTGTTTAACCATTGTGCAGGGTTCTGACGAAACTGGTTTACTTTATTTGGATGTTTCTAAAAGAATAGAATTGAATTTTTATTGCTATATACGCGTATGTATATACTTTTATAAACATAATGAGCTATCAATCGTCTGAAATATACCTCTAAATACTTTTTAGTGCCTGGTTGAGCACAATGGTAAGCAATAATCGACGGATATTGGCCTTGCAATACTGCATCTGCACCCTTGTTCGCTAATGTTGTAGAAAATACAAAAATTTGACTTTGTTGTTGCATATATTGAGCTTCACCGCTTCCTGTATTAGTTCCCATTTGCTTTCCAAGAACATTACTAACTAATGGCTGAATTCCATCTGTGGTAATCACATTACCACTACAATCTATCGGGAAAGAAGCAATACAGAGTACTTGTATGAAAACAATCAAAGAAAGCACAAATAGGAAGCGTAACAAGTACAATTACATTGAACAGTTGAAATGAATCCATGCTTACCAGGTAAATCGTCCGTAGGATTATTATGATCCCCTTCTTGCTTTACCGAATTTAAAATTGGCTGATTCGTGTTGTTATTTTGATTCTCCCCCGAAAGCGTGCTTTCCCCATTAGTAGGATCCAGACAAGGATCTCTGGAGCATTCAGGAGCATCCTCTCCAGTTGTGTCATCGTTGTTGGCTCCGCTACCTTCCTCTTTGATCTTGACTGGATCGGAATCAGGCTCCTCTTTTACAACAGTGGCAGACACACAACTTGGTTCGCTGGGTTTCTTTTCTGTTTTCATGTTTGGAGGCTGTTAGACGATTATTCTGTCAGACGGTGGTCAGCTGTGGAAAAATCAGACGCATGGCCACTATGGTCCGCACCGCGCGGATATAACGACGCACACGAATCGTTGATTGAGGTTAACAACGAGAATGATCGTTGACCGGTACCGTGGTGCGAGCGAATCCTCACAGAACGGTGTACGATACTCTTCTCGTGGAAGTCATGTCCGTTTGGATTTGTTACTTCCCGTGAAACGTTCTGGTGGCCGTCGCTTCCGCGCGTTCTCAGTCATTTAATCCGGGCCAACCGCGGAATCGGATTCCTACGCATGGAGGAATCTCGGTTGTCAGCGGGCGACTGATACAGGAACACGATAGCCAAGACCAATACACCACAGTGGTAACACGATGAAAATATTCTAAATGTCAGCCTCGTCTTCGTAGCGAGCACATAGCGCGCCTCCGGCTCTAATGTCGCAGAGAACACCACGTTGTAACCGCGTAAGACGTGTCCAAAACATAGAACGGGGGCCAATGCACGCTGCACCTCAGATTTCCTTGCCGTTCGCGAGCATTGTTCTCCAACTTTATTTGTCACTTCATGGTCGCTTTGATTATTTATTTCTTTTACGCACGGCTGCCAACCACCCGTCGAAAGTTAGACATCGTTTTAACGCGCCTCGAGACAACAAGGAGCGACTTATACGCGACCACGTTGGATAGAGGAAGACGGTACCAAGAGCGCACCCAGCCGTACTTGACTCGTTCCCTTACACTCGATCGCCCGCAGGGTTACTATTTTGGTCCTTTCTTTGCTTGTATTTTCACCATTCTTTCGCACCTTTATCGTGAGTATCTACGTACCGAGCGCATACCTTTGTCCGTTCTGCGGCCAACACGGACTTATAATTCCACGCCGATATCCCCCTAGACACGGGGCCAGCGTATTTATTTTACCCACAGAATCAAAACTCTGTGAAATTAAATTTGGAATACACGAGAGCAGGGACGCAACTATCGGCGCCAGTGCCTTGCTTCTTTTCACTTTCGTTACTTTTTACCGTACGCGGAACGATACCGTCCCGTATATGGTTATACTTTCGAGGCGGTATTTTTAAAATCCGGTACGACCGTAGCGCAAGAAAAAAATATGAGTTCGCGAGAAAGATGAAAGAATTACTTTTCGTTTCCTTACGTTTCACCGTCGAAGTTACGCGTGTAAGCTTGTGAACGTAACATTGGCATTGACTGAAAGAATATGAGGAGGAGAAAATCGAAATTCTTTCGAACCGTTCAGATTACCATCCCCCTTGCCTGAACGAAAGCAAAATCTTTGAATAGTGTATTCGTGGTATTATGTGTCGTTTGAGAAACGAGTATCTTACACGTATATTAATGCTTCTCGATTAAACGGTATAAGCTCGTCGTAATTCGTAAACGTAACAGAGAAAATAATAGGTAAATATACTGCAACATGTGTATCCGCAACACCATTGGAATCATATAATTTATTCGTATTTCATATTTTATACAATACACTGCAACAGCACAGACATTTAACCTACAATGTTTTGTATCGTCTATAAAAAAAGCGTACTGTACAATGATATGATTACATTGATATTCTCTGTTTCACAGGTTAAACAAACTTACCGAAACATGTCACAGTTAGAGCTAGATCCTCAATTTACTCAAGGTTTACATCTTCTACATTCCACTAATAAAGATTCAGCAGAACAGCTGCAAGTACTTTTAGACGAGGCGATTAAACAAAAGTATGGACCATCGAAAATGTTGTCAAATGTCTTGCACAAAAAGGTAATTGAATAGCAGTAAAATTGATCGTATAATGCATTGGATGACAAGAGAAGGTCCTTTGAATCGAAGCGATCAGTATTTACTAAAGTATTGTACTTACAGATTTAGTTCTGATATCAGGGTACTCGTGAAGCATAGAAGATTTCATTTACGTAAAAAGATATCCAGTATTTAATCCCTCAGTATGCACTATTGCTAATCTATATTTTTGAAGTTGTATCTAAAGTTCCATGGTTTTCAGTATATGATGGAGGAACCGGTGTTAAGCGACCATAGCAGCAGCAGTAGTAGTAAGAAAAGCAAAAGCTCTGGATCCTCTTCTAAACATTCGAGTAAATCCAGTAAAAATAGTTCACCTGTGAATCTGCCAACACGTGACACACCACCAGATATTATGCAGTCCGATAACACGTTGGCATTAGAAATATTAGAAGATGATCTGACTTGTGTTATATGCAAAGGAATGGATGTTGGAGCTAGGAATAGACTTGTAGAGTGCTTGGAATGTCATTCTTTGTATCATCAAGAGTGTCATGTTCCACACATTCTAGACTCGCAAATAGATGTTCCAGGACTCGTGTGGTATTGCTCAAATTGTTCAAAATCTCAGGTGTGTGTATTCACTCGCATTATAATTTACCGCTTTTATTTATACCTATGATTATTTTTTTCACTTCCATTGAGAAGTCACAAATTCGTACACGATAGACAATACTGAATAACTTTTCCTTGAATCTGTAGATCTCAAAAGAAAGGAGCTCACCAAAAACAGTGATAGAAAGCAAATCCAAGGAACAAAAAAAATCTAATTCAAGTAAGCTTTGTCTTCGAGTTCATAAATAATTCATAAATAGATCTCATAAATACATCTGTTCGTTTTGAATAATTTTCATTTTATTTCGAGTAGGCAGTGGAAATAAAGTGACACCTAATATTCATATAATAAGTGCAGACAGAAGATTAAAAGACATGATGAAGAAAGCAAAACAGGATAAACGAAGTACAAATAATAGTCAAAGTTCAAAGAACTCGAACAGTTTGCCAGCACTATCTTCAACGAAATCTCAGGAAAAGTCCCTATTATACAAAATAAAATCGGGTGTAGAATGAAATTCTTCTACGTAAAATTATCGAGACAATATTTTATAATATAGAAGAAGTTTAAGTGATTGTTATAATACCAACTTTGTGGAATGACTATACACGAGTAATTAATCGATGGAAAAGAGTAGCAATTACAATGAACGTCGGTAATATAGTCAACAGAAAACGATTCAGTTGCTGCATGCCAAAGAGCATACGAATAATCTTTAAACAAGAAATATCAACTTTATATATTCAGAGCCACACATGCAGCGTTTCAAGGAGAAATGTAAGGACCATGATGCGTGATTTGTTATTATAGTTTTTAAAGCTAGAAGAATAGAATTTTGGTACAGATGTATGTTGACTTAAAATACAAATATAGTTTACACGGAAAAATGTTTTTAAATATTATGATCAGTCACAGGTATTTCAAGAATCAGATTCATTTATAATACCAATATATTTTTGCAATTTTCCAAATGCTTATTTGTTTGTCCCTACGTCCCATTGAAAATTTGGCAAGAGTTATTTCGTTCTCAAGTGTTACTTAAAACCTACTTATATGCGAGATGGGGGGTTGAGTATTATTTACAGAGGAGTTGCATTTGCCACGCACACATACATCAATAAATTCACAGTCACGCAGATACGGATGAAGCAGTGACGCACACTTTCAACAGAAACGATCTGATAAACCCTTAAACAAAAATTATCACTACAGACAAGCATATGTGTAAAATGCAAATTGTTCACATATAAGATCACGTAATTATCGACTCTCGTAACGAGAATGGAGATACAATAGAATTCTGTGAGTTCTTCCCTTCTGTACTCTAGCGGACCGTTAAAATTTTAAAGGTTTATCATATCCTTACCATTAGTTATACATACACGTTACGTGTAGACTACATAACAAGAAAAAGATACACTCGAAATTTTGCGGGATTAAAGACGCTCCCGCTTTATATATTATTTTCATACACTTGCTTCCCGGATACGAATACACTTGAGTCTATTCTTCCAGGACACAATCATCCCCCCATCGTTCCCGAAGCCTTAACAAAGAATAATTTTAACTCGACGCAACGCTCGGACCCGTCTATACTACGAAGCATGATATACTAATCGACTTGTAAACCGCTGAACATCCCTTCAATTTAATTACAATACAGTACATACGTTGAATGCAGAATTGACAAGCTTTTCAGATGGATGGAGTCAACTGTCGAGCGTATACGAAATATCGGGAAATTCTATTACGTTATTAAAGCATCACCATGCTTCAACAGATGAGAAATCAATGTTTCATTGTTTTCCGAAATAATAGGCGACTCGATGATTTAATCGAACCTTACGAATGATCGAAACTCTTTACAGAGAGCTTTCGGGCACATTCCAGAATCAGTGAATTCGTCGTCTTTCTCAATTGCGTACGATTCCTTTCAATTCTTCAGAACTGTAACAAACGCAGCAGAATTTCATCGAAATTTGTATGTGCGTACATGCGTTAAAAAATGCAGCCTTGTTGCATTGGCTTTCCATCGAATTGCGCTCGAACGTATGTTGTACCTTGATGTACCGTACAATATACATACTTTGTGTAAACCTCTGAAACGATTATTTAAAAATGTACCACATATACTCGTTAGAAATCTTTCGTGTTCTGATTTTCTTGATAAGTAATTTGATGTATACACAAATATGTGCGCACGTAGACGTACGTCAATCTGCACTATACGCAATGTGTAAATTGAAAATTTATTTATGCCCTTCACAGCAATTGACATTGTGGGTGTAATAGTTTTTTTTAAAGTATAAGTCATCTCTGCGTATTATTCTGTAATGTAAAAGTATTACATTAATATAAGGAAATGCCAATAGAGACATATAAAACATTTTTGGAATGTATACGTATCATCTCCACAATTTCAAAATTTGAAATACATCTGTTTCGGTATATACAATTGTCTAAAGACGTTTAAACAAACGATCGAAATCCAATTAGGGAACGTAACATTGAAAGTTAAGACAATAGCAATTATTTAAGATCATCGTCGTTGAGAGGTGCTCTTAAATAAGAGTAATTAATAATATTAAAACTAACATTTAACATTATTTAAATCCGTAATGTTCTCGTTATAATTAAGACGACTTTATATTTTTACTTTGACTACACCTTGTGGGCATTAAAGTAAGATAACTTAATAGTGGAATTAAAAAAAACTTTAATGCAGTTTACAACTAAACTGTGTATAAAGGATACATTATTTGCACAGTACTTTAATTTAACATAAATATTTGCGTCGCAAGATTTGCGAATATCAGACTTATAGAAACAAGTACGTTACTTTGAATGAATGGTAAATATAGTTTCACAGATTACAATCTCATTCAATGTAGGAAGACTATTCAACCGTACAATACAATCAAAAGGAATATAAGTTTCGTGTAAACACTATTCATGAGACCATTCTATTTCACA